TTTTTTTTTTTTTGGAGATCGAGTCTCATTCTGTTGCCCAGGCTAGAGTGCTGTGGTGTCAGCCTGGCTCAGAGCAACCTCAAACTCCTAAGCTTAAGAGATTCTCCTGCCTCAGCCACCCAGAGTGCTGAGATTACAGGCGTGAGCCACTGCACCCAGCTAAAGATAACAAACTTTGTTTTTCTCACAATAGAAAAAAGAATTGTGTGACGTTCATAGCAGCCTTTTTCATAATACCCCCAAATTGGAAATAAGTGAAACTACAGAATGGATTTAACAGATTTTAAAAACTGTGATTTGCTCGGGCAGTGGGCTACTACTCAGCAATAAGGAGGAACACACTGCTGGTACACAGAATGCCAAAGAGAAACCTAAGTAGGACCAACGTCATAGCTTGCGAAATGTCTCAGTTTGTTGTCCGTTTTGAAATTAGCTTGTCTTTTTAATGTTGATTTTCAGGAGTTCTTTACGTGTATATGTTCTGGATATGGGTTCTTTCCCACTACACTTACTGTGAATATTCACCCATGATGGTGAATATATCAGTACTATATTCTTTAAAAACATTTTGGATGAAGAATCTATTCCTTAAATCAAACATAGCCCTTTTATGCAAAGTTCTATAATGGGAAAACTAAGCTATGAAGCTAGAAATCTGAACAATGTTTGCAGCGGGGGGGTGATATAGAACTTTCTGGGGCAATGGGAATAGTCTATCTTGGCTGGGATACAAAGGATTATACATTTGTTAAAACTTGCTGAAAATACACACTTGAAATCTGCGCATTTTTGTGACTGTGAATGAAACCTGTTACCAAATAAAGCAAACCCATTATGGGAAGAGAGACCTAATAATCTGAAAACTGTCAAAATATGTACAGAATGGCCAGGCACAGTGGCTCATACCTATAATCCCGGCACCCTGAAAGGCCAAGGTGGGTAGGTAAATTGCTTGGGCTCAGGAGTTTGAGACCAGTCTGAGCAAGAGTGAGACCCTGTCTCTACCAAAAATAGGAAAATTAGTTAGGTGTGGTGGTGGGCACCTGTAGTCCTAGCTGCTCGGATGGATGAGATGGGAGGATTGGTAGAGCCCAGGAATTTGAGGTTGCTGTGAGCTATGACATCAAACAAAAATATTACAGTACAATTCTGACTCTACCAAAAGGTGATCAACCCTGACTCTACCAAAAGGTGATCAACTTCTATTCATAGTAATAATAAAAAAAAACTTAGGCTTGGTGCCCGTAGCATTACAGCACCAGCCACATACACCAAGGGTGGTGGGTTCAAACTCGGCCGGGCCAGCTAAATAATTGCAACAAAAAAAAGTCAGGTGTTGTGGTGGGTGCCAAGTAGTCTCAGCTACTTGGGAGGCTGAGGCAAGAGAATCGCTTAAGCCCAAGAGAGTGAGGTCGCTGTGAGCTGTGACGTCACGGCATTCTACCGAGGGCGACATAGTGAGACTCTGCCCCCCCCAACAAAATGTTATAAACGTATCTCATAACAACATTTTACCTAGTTATAAACTATGTAGGCCCAGCCCACACAGGCCCACTAAAGGCTCTACTAAACACAGCTCAAAACAATTATCACTATCAAGGTCCAATCTTTTACTTCTAAATACATATTTAATAGTATTTCAAAGAAACAGTATCATTGGGCGGCGCCTGTGGCTCAAAGGAGTAAGGCGCCAGCCCCATATGCCGGAGGTGGCAGGTTCAAACTCAGCCCCGCCAAAAACCGCAAAACAAAGAAAGAAAGAAACAGTATCAAAGAGCCAAACATTCCTTTTTTCATTTTTTATTTAAATACAGAGAAAAGAATGCTGAAACTATACAATGCCCAAACACAACATATGTGTGGACCAGCTGTTAGGGGAAAATCACACCGTTCCACTGTTCACGCCTTAAACTACTTCGTAGGAACGTCATAAAGATGAATGAGATGACGGACCAGACCCCGTTCCGTGGGCAAACTACTTGCTTGGGTAATTTGTGCACGTGAAGGTCTGCTAAGCCCACCAGGACGCTAGGATATGGTTACTAATGCGACAGCACAACAGCAGGCAAGATAGTTTATATTCTGATAATCAAGCCTTCAAATATTCGGAATGGCGCTTTCTAAAGCATAATTTATACTTGAAATGCACTTTAATTCCTTTAAAAAAAAAAACAGAAAGCTTTTAATTTGTGAGTTAAACAATAGAGCTCTTAACATTTAAGGGTTTAATCACTGTACTAGTTACTTACCCAAGGATAAAGAAAAAAAAAGTCAATGGCCCTTAAGGAGCTTGCAATTTAATGAGGAAAACATAAAAATAAATAATTTGAATGCAATGGGACAAAGGTTTTTTTGCTCCTACAGAATAAGGGGACAGGGCACCCACTGCAGAACGAGGTGGAATTTGGAGGGTGGAGGGGGTGTCAGAGCAGGCCTTTGAGGGGCTCCTGAGCAGAAGAACCCTAGCGGGACACGGCAGTGGGTCAAAAGGGAGGGCCTGGCAGCTGGGCGGAGGGTTCAGGCGACAGCAGCAGAGGCAGAGAGAGGGGGAAGCCAAGAAAGTACAGGGCACCGCTGGGGCCCTGCAGTGCCAGGGCAGGGGGCGAAAACGGAGACGCCAGTGGGCTGACTGGAAAGAGCCTTCTAGAAGGATCAAACATACGCACTCTGGAAAAGACTGAGACAGACTTGGCAGCCAGCAGCCCGAGGGAAGTAACTGAAGTCACCACCCAGGGAGATGTGCAGCGCGCAGGGAGCGGAAGGCCCCTGCCGCAGGCCTGGCAGCAAATGCAGGGGAGGAGGGACAGGTGAGAGAACGTGGGCAGGTGCAGGCCGTGTGTGAGAAAAGAAGATCCCCATGCTGCTAAGTCCAAAGGGGTGAAGAGCAGGAGGCAGGAACTCCCAGGCCCAAGTCAGGGGGACAAAGCTACAGTGCTGTTCGGATTCGAGAATGGGTGGGGCCTGCGGTGCCCCCGGCAGGAGCAGGTTCTGTGGGATGATGAACAGTGGGGGAGCCATGAAGGGGACAAGGAACCACATGAGAGCTGGGGTCTGGGTGAAGGATGGTGCAGAGGGGTGAGGCAGGCAGTTTACTGTTATCTGCTTATTATTTTCTTTTGTAGTTTTGGCTTAGTATTTTTTTTTGTTTGTTTTAGTTGTTTTTTTGTTTTTTTGTTTGTTTGTTTGTTTTTGGCCGGGGCTGGGTTTGAACCCGCCACCTCCGGCATATGGGCCCAGTGCCCTACTCCTTTGAGCCACAGGCGCTGCCCTATTTATTTTTATTTTATTTTATTTTATTTTTGTTTTTGTTTTTGTTTTTTTGGCTAGGGGCTAGGTTTGAACCCACCACCTCCGGTATATGAGGCCAGCGCCCTACTCTTTGAGCCATAGGTGCTACCCTTTATTTTATTTTTGAGACAAGAGTCTCACTCTGTCACCCTGGGTAGAGTGCTATGGCATCATAGCTCACAGCAACCTCAAACTCCTGGGCTCAAGTAATCCTCCTGCCTCAGCCTCCTGAGTAGCTGGGACTATAGGCACCCACCATCACACCTGGCTAGTTTTAGAGACAGGGTCTTGCTCTTGCTCAGGCTGGTCTTGAACTCCTGAGCTCAGGCAATCCACCCACCTCAGCCTCCCAAAGTGCTGGGATTCTAAGACGTGACAGATTTAAAGGCTGTCAAAAAGAGGGATTTTCTTCTTCCCACAATAAGGAAATCAAGAAACAGAAAGAAAGAAAGGGTTTAGGACTTTTCCTCAGTGAGGCCACGTCTTCCAGAATTGCCCATGACTGTCGTCCCTCCCTGCCTCCACCCGAACGCACAAGCACTGTGTCTTCGGGCCACAGCACCCCAGTGCCCAGCAACTTCTGTGGAAAGTGCAGTGGCTACCGAGAGAGGAGCCCAGTGCTCTTGACGTCCACAGGCCCAGCCCTGCACTGAGGAGAATTCACTCTGTAGCAGGCAGGCAGACATACCTTCTCCCTCTCTGCCTCCCATAAGTAGAGTCTACACACAGGCTCCACATACCAAAATGAGCATTTTGGTTCAATATCAGTCACTAAGAAAATGGGATTTAAAGTAAGGACATTCACTCTGTGAAATGCCCCCCTTTTGCAGAATGACAGGATCCAGGCAGATTACTTTTCTGCTGTTTTCTTTCACCAGAAGGGGAAACTTACTGTTGATGTGATCGATGTAATAGACGCCAATCTGCGGGTCAAAGCCAGCTTCCCAGCCCCACGGCAGCTCGTCCCCCACACAATCAGCAAATGACAAGGGCTTCGTTAACCTGCAGCAAACCAGAACAGACACACCAGTGATGCTTGGGTGACTCTTTACTGCCACTCACATCCATCAAAGCTTAGCACCCCAACCACCAGTTATGTGTCTTGAGTTGCATTCCCTTTCTTTTGTTGTTCTTGTTTCCAGAGTTTCTGCTACTACATTTGAAACCTTAAAGCAAAAAATAAATGCATAAAATACATTTAAAAAAATTTTTTTAAAGGCAAAAATTTTTTATAGCAGTAACAGAGAGGTGAGTATCCGAAGTAGGATGAGTCATAACATTCTTTGAAAGTTCACAGCTTAAGTAAGACTGGCAGGTAAATCTCTACAATAAACAAAAAGCCATCTTCAACTGGGGAGACTCCAACCTGAGTTCACTTCTAGCTCTGCAGTGAAACAGCTATCCCATTACAAAGAAAAATCTGTCCCACAATTCAAACACTGTCATCATGAAAAGCACGTCAGTGCCTCTAAGATGAGGTAGGTTCCAGGCTATGCTAATTTTCAGATTTGATGCTCTTATATAAACTAAATGCTCAACTCTTGTGTCCAGTAGGAGTTCTTCTTGAGAGGACAAATATACCTCTCTTTATAAGCATCTTGTACGTAACAGCTACCAGACAAAATTTTTAATGGAATCAAACACGTAAAATATTCATTATATCAAAGTGGTCTCACCTTTTGAAATGGCCTTAGGCTGTTTTGACATTAGGACAACTTTCTCTTAAACACACTTTCCCTTTAGGACTTTGCTCTTAAAACTCATGGGAGGCTTGGCGCCTGTGGCTCAAGTGGCTAAGGCACCAGCCACGTACACCTAAGGTGGCGGGTTCGAATCCAGCCAGGGCCCGCCAAACAACAATGACGGCT